GAATTCTTTTTAGCAAAAGCTCCTTCAAAGTTTTGAAGCAAAACGAAATTAAGGCTACTTATGAAACTATTATCAATCAATATTCTTCTAAATAGATATAGTGTTTTCACATTGAGAAGAGCCATCCTTCTCAAAGTACTAACATTGTTTATCGTATCAAATTGGGTAGATTCAAGTCACGTGGTCATCATTTTATCAAATATCTTTCACTTATGTATTGCAAATCTAAACTACAATCTAGAGCATATAATTTAAGGAAAATCGCATTATATAGCCGTTTAAAAAATAATAGACGATAATATATATATTATTTGCATACTAATACATATAACACACTAGTCGCAGTAAGCCTGTGCTGAGCTCGGGCCTAAATTTAAAGCCGAAAAGTAATACATATGATTAAAAAGAATAATTTGCATTATGTTTTTAAGTTTTCACCAAATATCTTATTTCTCCTGATAAAAAATAATCGTGTGTACTCAAATTATAGCCAAGATAAAATTCAAATCCACGGGCACGTTTTCAGTCTTGTATTCCTTAGGAATACCGAATTGATATACCATGTATCATATTTAAGAGAATTTCTTAGAACTCATGTCAACACAACCAAGAACAAATCTAATTCCCTTATGTTTGAACTCACTTGGCTTTAGTTTGCTGGTTGCTACCTTTAAACTGCAAGTTTCTATTTTATATTTAGAGGTAAGAACGAAACAGGGAAAAAAAGAAAAAAAGAAAAAAAAAATAGCACAAAGTTAGGTTTTGAAAAACAAAACTAACCAAAATATTGTGATGACCCGATAGGTCATCTTATGAATTAAAACCAAATTCTGTGTTCTGAGGCCTTAAAAACCTTATTTTATCCCTCCTTGATTTGTGTGCGCAGTCCGGACGTATTTGCGGAAAGCTTTTATGTTTAAAGTTGGTAAAAACAAAGATTTTTGCTTAAAAACTTCATTTGAGTTGACTTCATGAGCATTTTTGATAAACGGATCCGGATTTATATTTTAACGATCCCGGTGGGTCCGTATCGAAATATGGGACCTGGGCGTATGCCCGGAATCGGAATCGGAATCGGAGGTCTCTAGCTCGAGTTATAAATTTTTGTAGAAAATTGAGAGTCTAAAAATTTAATGGTTTTTAAGAAATTTTTAATGTTTGATCTTGTTGGTATCGGGTCCGTATTTTGGTTTCGGAGTTCGGTACATGTTTAATATAATATTTAAGAGATGTCTGTGAAATTTGGTGAGAAACGAAGTTGGTTTGACGTGATTCGGACGTCCAGTTGAGAAAATAGAAATTTCAAAGTGTTCTTGAGAATTTCATTTGATTTGGTGCTAAATTCGTGGTTTTAGGTGTTATTTTAGCGATTTGACCGCGCGAGCAAGTTCGTATGATATTTTAATACTTGTGTGCATGTTTGGTTTGGAGCCCCGAGAGCTCGGGTGAGTTTCAAATAGGCTACGGAGTGATTTTAACTTGGAAAAAAATTGCTGGTGTAACTGAGCAGGTTGCAGGCCTCTGATCTTGCATTTGCGAGATCAGGCATCGCAATTGCGACCTCTGGGGGGTCCGCATTTGCGAGGAGAAGCTGGGCCAACAGTGTTCGCAAACACAATTGCAAAGTTTCCTACGCATTTGCGAAGGGAGTCTGGGAATGGTAGGGATTGCAATTGCGATCAATTGGTCGCAATTGCGGAGGGTCAGGCTCGCATTTATGAGACTCTCTTAGCATTTGCGATAAAAGTAGGAATGAGGAGACCTTCGCATTTACGATAAGTTCTTCGCATTTGCGGGGCTCGCATTTGCAATGACGTTTGGACGTGATTTTTCATTCATTCTTCAATTTTTCAAAACCTAAAACACAAGTGGCGATTTTCCAAAGACTTTTTCTTCCCCAAATCATAGGTAAATGATTCTTAACTAGTTTCTTTCAATCTTTCACTTCATTTTACAAGATTTTAACCTAGAATCTAAGGTTTTCATGGTGGAATTGGGGATTTTTGGGTAGAAATTAGGGATTCAAAATTTGGGGATTTAGACCCCAAATTGAGGTCGGATTCCAAAACCAATTGTATATGCGAACTCGGGGGTGAATGGATAATCGAGTTTTGGTCTGAATTTCAGAATTGGACCAAGCGGGCCCGAGTATTGACTTTTGTTGACTTATTCAATAATGACCTAAATTGAGTCCTTTGTTATCGTGGGTGATTCCTAAGGCTTATTTTGAAACGTTTGGTTGGTAATTTGCTAGATATTGTTGGTTCGGAGGCGTGTTTGTAAGGCAAAGCTGTGATTGAGTTTTTAGTGACCTTTGGTTCGAGGTAAGTGGTTTGTTTAACCTTGTGTGAAGGAACTCCCCTTAGGGTTTGGTACTGTTTGATATATGAGCGACATGCACGTGAGGTGACGAGTGCGTACACGGGCTATTTGTTGAAAAATCCTGTTTTCATTAAGTAAATATCTATTTTTCCTTTAATTGAGTAACACTAGCATATGTAACTATCCTGTTTAGTTTAGGAAAGCATGCCTACGTGCCTTGATACTTGACTGCCTATCTGAACTCTGTGTAGCATATTTTAGTGAAATTTCTTGTTCTTCTTTGACTCGGACTTAGCCTAAATTGTGTTTCTTATTGTAACTGTTATCTCTCTTTGGTTGAGCTACATATTTACTTTGGGACTATAGAACGGTATTTCGGGAGATCCCCCTATAATACATATTTACTTTGAGACTACGGAACGATATTCAGGAAGATCCCCCAGCACTACATATTTACTTTAGGACTACGGAATGGTATTCCGGGAGATCCCCCTACACATTTACGTTTGGGACTACGGGACGGTATCCCGGGAGATCCTCCAGCACTGCATATTTACTTTGGAACTACGGAACGGTATTCCGGGAGATCCCCCAGTACATTTACATTTGGGTCTACGGGACGGTATCCCGAGAGATCCCTTGTTGCTATTACTGTGTTCTGAGATGTGGGCTTCCATTGAGTTCTATTCCTGTTAGATTTCCGTATTTATTTTACTGTAATATTCTTTTATCTTATTTCATTATATTTATGCTGGTAGGGTCCTGACCTGATCTCGTCATTACTCGACCGAGGTTAGGCTTGGCAATTACTGAGTACCGTTGTGGTGTACTCATGCCCTTTCCTGCACATGTTTTCCGTGTGCAGATCCAGGTACTAGCTATCAGCCTCGAGTCTAGCTGTGTGGTTGCTGCTTCAGGAGACTTCAAGGTATATTTGCTCGCGTCTGCAGACCTCGAAGTCCCCTTATATCCCCTATGTTCATTTTCTTCTTTTCCGTAGAAATGATGTATAGAACAATTAGGACTTCTTAAAAGCTTGTGACATCGGGTTTTGGGAAAGATGATTACTGTATATGCCGAGTGGTACCCTTTCTGCTTATTTACTTTATCTGTTAGCTGTTATTCTTGTATTTTCATTTCATTCCCGCAATATTAGTTTTACCTAGTCGTAGAGACTAGGTGCCGTCACGATAGTTCACGGGGGGAGAAATTGGGCCGTGACAAATATTCTATACAAAACCAAAAAACTATTTAAAAGACCAAAAAACCTAACCAAGAATTTTTTTTTTCTTTAAGAATAAGTTTAAAAGAAATAAAACCAGAATCAAATTGAAATTAGGCAAAGAAGACCAAGGAGACACACCTTTGTTGATACCCCCTGGGAATAACAATACTTAAGTTCCTACAATCTTCTTAACTGAAAAATAAAATTATAACTATCCACACACCAAAATAGAGTTTAAAAATATTAGGCTTAATATATTTTACTCCTCTTGTTGATATTTGAACCTTTTCACTTTTAAAGGATGCATAATGTAGCGATAAAATTATGAAAACTGATGAATAGGAGTTTGGATGCTTACCTGTATTTCTTGAATTTGTAAAGGTAAAAGGTACATATAAGCTATAGTATTTCAACAATTCTAATTATAGAACCAAACATTTTGGTTAAGATGTAACCATGACTCCATTTGAAGATTTAAGAAAATCTAAAAAGTTAGTTTTATTTACGAAATGTCTGAGGGCATCTACCATAATAAAAGGTTTATGTAGGGTGAGAAGGGATAGTAGAAACATAAGTATACTATCTCCAATAAGAATTCCATAAAATTATAAAATAGGACTTAAAAGTAGTATCATTAACTCAACACCCACAAAATTGATAAAGTAAAAAATGGCAACATTAAGGGCAATAGTTTTGGAAACTTGAATGTGAGGACGACAAAATCTTTGGATTGTCCCTTATTAATAATAGTAATATCTTATACATAATCATGGTATAATTTTAATATATTTTCGAATGTAATTATTTTTAACCACTTAACCCGACAAATGTGTTACTTGCGCAATAATATACATAGGCGAATCAACCACTCACATGGATTCAATCAAGCGATCTTTACACAAAACTTGAATCCAGTACCAAAGTGAAGTTACAAATCAGTGACTGCAACTCTAATCTCCAAATGTAGTTTGTCTGAAACTTTTGGTTACTTGATATCTTTTTATTCTTTTTTTCTTTTTCATTGCACTTATTTATTTTCTAAGAAATGAGAGCCAACCCAAATAGCCAGTCATAATAAAGTTTTGTTATTAACGAATGATCCAGTAATCATTTGAAGAATTACGAAAATATAAAAAGTACATTTTTTCTCTCTTAATATTACAACTGTACTAAAGAGAACATCAGTTCTAGACTCTCTGCAGAATCAAAATCCTATTCTAAATCTTAAACTCAACATCAAGTTTAAAATTTAGCTAACTGCACAAAATATCAATATTCAATAGCTTAAAATGTCTCACCACCATCACCACCCCCAACCTTCCCCTTTCTTTCCTTTTTTTT